ATAGCATAATAAGCACTGCCCTACATGTCAACCAGCATGCTCTTTCTAGTATGCATGAAATTTTTTTCTCTTGCTGTAAAAGGAACAGATTGTGTACCTCTGTAACATCACAGGCCTTCTCCGCTTCAACAAAAACAAACCCTCTTATGTGATCAAGTGCAAATGCTGTGATAATTGGCACTTTGGTACCAATTTTTCGCAGGTCAACAAATTTTTGCATGAAGCAGAAGGCCATTTGGCGCTCACGCCCAACCTGGAAAGCAGTTAAACAAATCAGCACATGCACAACAAATGCTAGTCGAGCAATGTCAAGTCAAGGGTTTGATAATCACAAACCATGCATTTAACTCTCCAAATAGTAGGCTCTTTGAGTGCACAATCATTGGGGAAAATGTCATCGTCTTCTCTAGAATAGCTCCGATCAGCAGCGTATTTCCCACGATTACTGTATCGGTTCTTGATGAATTCCTCAAGTTCATCGCCGCTAAGCTCCTCTTCCTTTACAAGAAATGGAAGAGGGTGTGACCTTTCAGTTCTTTTGTGACTCGGATTTTGTACATGTTCCCCACCAGTAAAGAAACCTGCAATTGACATAAACAAGATCACATGAGCAGAAGATTGTGAGAATCACTAGGCAGTAAAACCTTCATATACATTTATGGTCAAAGAGTATGGGATGAAATGACATTAGTGCAATGATGAGTATAGAACATAGACCCTAGGCATCCAGATAATTGATGACAACATTAAGTCAAAGTGCAATGGCAGTTTGCTGTAAGGCGTAACTAGTTGATGACACTGACAAAGGTCAAAAAAAGAAAAAAAAAAAACTGGAGATTGCTCATGGAAAAGTAGAACAGCACATGATGGAAAAGTAGAACAGCACATGATGGAACAGGCAAGAAGAACAAACAGCTTACATCCAGCATTGCATGGACATGGATGTTTGTTTAGGAGACACACCAAATAGCCCTTGGAATCCAAGAGAGGTGTAGGAATCTGATGCCGTTGCGGGGGTATCAGACTCAGAAAAAAAATAGGACACGTGTCCAGGTAACACTGCTTATATCCGAATTGCACAATAAATGAGACAAAAGAGCATAAGGCAAAGCTGATTTTGGATGGTACGGAGTACATATTTGTCAATTCATGAGTTCTGATTTCATAAAGATAGGTAACAATAAAAGACCTTGTCATTGATGTAGAAGAGGAAATTTACAGGACTAATTCATTTTGTGCAAAACGTGTTGTGAAAAAAAACCAACAACTGTTCTGAAGGTTATGTAGTTTGCTAGTGCGTCACACTAAATGCACCACATTGTAAAGATGTATTGTAATAATAATAATAATGATAATAATAACCACATAAAAGCACGACCTTGGGTAACAAAGGTCAATCATCACGTTTTGCCCAAGGACTCACTCCAAAACCAAAACCAACAAAATCGAGTTTCTATCTATTAGCACATAGGGATGATTTCGTCCCCGTGCAACTAGCAAACTACTAGAATATCGGATTCTACAACTTTTAGTGAAGAGGTGAAATTTCTACAGTGCTTTATAAGGGTTCCTGTCGTTAATCCCCCTAAAACCCCCCACCAATCAACACAGATCAAAACCTATATAACAGATACAAAGTAAAAAAAAAAATATGTATCCCGAAATCATCCGCCCAGATAATCCGCATTGCAGAAAACACAAACCCCAGATGGATCCCCTCGACCCATCCACGTCTCACGCAAGCCTCGGGGACCGAACCGAATCCGTACTCACCGTCATCGGGGTCATCCTCGGACTCGAGCTCGAGCTCGTCCTCCTCCTCCTCATAGTCGTCGTCAACGCCGGCTACGTCGTCGACGAACTGGAGGACCCCGGCGCGACGGCGGCGTTTCGCGGCGGAGGACGACGAGGGCCCCGCCCCCGCTTCGCCGGTTGCCTTCCGCCGCTTCCCGCCGGACCCGGAGGCTCCTCCGGCGCCTGGGCCAGGGGATTCGGCGGCCACCTGCTTGCCCTTCCCCTTCACCGCCATGGCGAAGGGAGCAGCAGCGAGTGGCGGAGTGGGATGGAGCGGGGAATGGAATACGACGCGACTCGCCCGAGGTGGAGGAGGCCTTTAAGACTGTCTCCGACCACCGCGATCAAAATCCAACACCCATTCGTCGTTTACAGATAAATGGTTTAATACGTAGTTTTCTCCAATAACAAAATTAAAAAACAATTCTTTGCATAAATAGATCCCAAATAAAAGAATATTTAGATTTAAATTATGTCTTCCCAGCATCTTAAATAGGTCTTTCGCTAGACAGCGGAGGTTATAGATACTAGCCACTATGCCGTGCTTTGCTGCGGGTGATTTGCTTGATATATCAAACCTGGGAGATCATGTATACGTGTTACTCGAAAGTATCTCCACGGAAGCTATAGCTAATTAATTTTTTCCACTACTATGTTGTGGAAGATGATCTTCTTGGTATATATCAAATCTTAGGGATCATATGTATGTTGTACTAAAAAATATCTCAATAGAAGCTAATATGTATTTTCCAGTATGATGTTATGTAAGGGCGATAGAGTTTGGCATCCATTACACAATATCTATTCTAGGTCACTAAATAAAATTACTGACATATTGGTGTAGAGAAATGGCATATTGGCATAGAGAAATGTTTGCTCAAGTGGAATTCAAACAACTAACATCACTAAACTCAAAGCACAACACCATGTGGGATTATATTATAGGTGGAAATAATAAACACTACAATGAGGGTTCTTGAGGGGCCCATGTCTCCACTTAGATCATTCTTCGTAGCTTGAGAAATCTTCTGGGAGGATGGAAGGAGGGCAGATGCCATCTCCTAGTGGTGCCTGAGTCAGCGGGAGAATCTCTTCTCCATCGATTGACCCTGACTCGGAAATTCCATGGGAGGCCTCGGTTGGTGGAGGCGTGGGCGGCGTGTCCACAATCTTCCCTTTGATTTCTTCCATGGTTGCAACTGGGATTCCATCTAGTATTAGGCATTCTCTCCCTTCCAGAACAAGGGTCCTCTCTTGGCCCTAGTGACAAGGTAGATATTCTTCAATTGCTGAGTGTGGCGGTCTTCGGCCTGTTTGAAGGCTTCAATTGTTGTAGCCTCATGGCTCTCCGCTCTAGCTGCCTGCGCCTTAGCCTCCGCAAGCTGCACTTGCAGGTTTCTTATTTGGTTCTCGGCCTCCTCTGCCCTTATAATGCACTTCTTCAAATGGGTGGCATGCCTAACATATTGCTTATCTAGGCAAAGTAGGTAGGTAGACATGAACACCGTAGTTGGGTCACTTTCACGTAATTCAGGGCCTTCGAGGGTCCTCATTCGGGCTACCCACACAGGACTGTCTCTTGTTAAAGGAGGGAAGAATCTCATGGGTGTATGACATATTGGCCTCTCATAAATCTGGCATAGGTACCTCAAAGCTTTGCGAGCGACAGATTGGTAAGTGTCCTCAAACCGAAACCCTATAGTAGAAACCACCCACGGCCCTATGTTGGAGAAATCTTTACTTCCTCCAACATAGATGATGACCTCGCACCGCTCTGTGCCATACTCCTCATATTCTCTACCTACATACTCTGGGTGATCCAAAAGACCTATCCTGGACATGGTGGCATATAGGAGCTTGAGAAAACCATCTTTGTTCAAGCAGTAGCTAGTGGTCCACTCTTCATCTACCATCTGCAAGAAAAAGAAGGGTAAATCATTTTTGTAATATATAGGAGAGGGTAAGATTTCATAAAGATGGTCATGGTTTTCTCACCTTGATAAGGACACCGGCGAAGAGGAAGGCCGCTGTAGCCGCTCGATTCCTATAGGAGAGCAGAGAAATGGGGAGAGAGGAATGATACTTGATGGGAAGGAAGTTGAGCTAGGATGTGTTACCTCTTGAGATATGGAAGACCTCTGAGGTACCAAATTTTATAGCTAGAAGGATGGAGTTGTATCCAGCAGCGCAAGAACCGCATTTAATGCGAGCGATTGTGGCGTCGACACGGGTGATGTCGTGTAGTGCCAAGGGCGATGGTGAGGTGACATTGTGGCAGTAATTGTTGGGCACTTCAAGGGCATTCTCCATTATTTCCGGGCACGCGGGTGCCTTTGCGTAGTTCCTGTGGATGCACGCCTAAACAATGGTAGGCACACACGACATGAACGATGGTGAGGTAACACTGTGGCAGCAGTTGTTGCCTGGTTAAGGGTCATTCTCCATTATTCACGGGCATGCACGTGCCTTTGTGCAGGTTGTGTGGGAGCGTGCCAAAATAGTGGTAGGCATAACACGAGCACACAAAGACAACAAAACCAGGCACAATGTTACCTACAATGGAGCATGTCCCTTAAGTGTCCAAATAATGAAATCATCAGAACAGGACAAAGTAACCTACAATTAGAGATGATAATAAGAGATCTAGCAAGCAAGAGTATGAAAGAAATGGAAAGGAGATGGTCATGACGTCCTCGAACTGATTATAGGCAGAACATGACTTTTGCACAAATACATAAGAGGATGGGAAACTAAAGAAATATGTGCAGGCACCTGACACTTCAGCTTCTCCTTTGCCGGGTTGCGTCTTCTTTGATTATCTAGAGGAAGTTCCTTCCATCCGCCACACCTGTGGACCTATGGATTTGTCCACATACATATGATACATATTATATTGTACTCATACATCTTTGCATTACGTTACTACATACATGTGCATAATTAAGTTTTTCTGCGGAGTGTATCCATGGTAGTACATAAGTAGTTATAGGAATGCCTGCTAGTGTACATTGTTTAGTTTGCCAGACCTAGGTTATCAACGCTCACAGCACTTACCCCCATCCCCTCTTCTTGCCCGACTACACCATCGACTCTTCATATACATGGGCTGGTCGACCTAGGGTTTAAAGGGCAAGAAGCACTTTCCCCTCTACCACTCCACCCCATCCCCCCTCACCTCTGCAGGATCAAACTACATCTCGTAGATGATGTCGATTAAACCGGTGGTAATCATGGGTGCCACTGGCACTGGCAAGATGAAGTTATCAATTGACATATCCAAGGTGATTGGTGGTGAAGTGATAAATGCGGACAAGATGCAAATATATGCTGGTCTTGACATCGCAACTAACAAGATCCGGGCCGAATGATCAAGGTGGTATTCCTCATCACTTAATTGGGGTTATTTCATCAATTGCGGATGATGTGTATGTACCTTCCTTTCGATCTATTGCAACAACTACTACGGAGTCTACTGCAAGGCGTGGTCGAGTTCCAGTTCTGGTAGGTGGGTCAAACTCACTTATGCATGGATTTCTTGCTGACCACCTTGATCCCTCCCTTGCCAATCCTTTTTCGATACCAAAGTATATAAGCCAAATTTAAGGTTCAAAAGTTGTCTACTTTGGGTCCATACGCATGAGCTGGTTCTTAATGAGTATCTGTGTGTCGCCGTATTGATGATATGGTTTATACGGATTAGTTGAGGAACTAAAAGAGTATTTTGATACTACTGTTGGCTCATAAGATTGGCAACCTTTCGGGTTGGCTAAGGCAATTGGTGTGCGAGAACTAAGCAAATATTTTGGTGGAGGCATGAGTCTTTTCGATTCCATAGATGAGATGAAAGCAAATACAAAAGCCCTTGCAAAATCATTGACTACAAAGATTCGCCCTATCATTTGGTGTTTGAAATTTGCTTTGTGTGTGTGGTGGACTCTCTGAAGCCATACACGTTGCCATCTAAGTGGAGGAGACCATAGTACGAAGGACATATCATGGGAACGCGATGTGAGTTCTCCTATAATTGCTATTGTGGATAAGTTTTTACATAGGTAACGCCAACGCTGGCTATCCATGTGAGTTCTTGTAAGTAATTAAATAAATCCAATTAAACTATCTTTTAATATATGCGAGTGGTACCATGTTAGCTATAGTATGGGTTATTATTTCCATGACTCGAAAATGTATTGATATTTGATCTGGAAACCTTCCACTTATTGCTGCTTGTAGCATGGATGTTAATGGCAATGCTTCATATGGTTATTTGCATATTAGTACCATATACTCCTTTATTCGTTGAAAATTGAAGGACCCAACTCTATAACACCCTTTCTTCTACCTTGTTGTACGATGCATTGATAGATTCCCCTAAAATTTGTAAATAACCCTCATTTAGAATGAACTAATGGAAATGAAGAAGCATGGAAATGCAAAGGACGTGTACGTAGGTGATGAGTAAGTAAAAAGGGACTCAAAAGCTGGTTTTGGTAAAAACATGCATGACCGAAAGGAAGGATGTTGTTGATCGCTACTTTTATCAAGATGCTCGACACGAAGAAGCAAGAAGAGCATCGATTTCGGCAACACATGTGGTGGCCTACATACGCATGCTTGTCGCTACCGCTAGATACTTTCGATACTCGTATGCATGCATGTTGGTAGCCAATCGGACGCATGCATACATCCTAGAAGCACGCCACACTCTTTTGCTCCTTATTTGGAAAAGCTAGATACTCCTACAATCCTGTGGATGTCCCTGGTGTTGACCAAACGCATAGGTACGAACTATCAGAAAAAGCTAGTATTGTATGGTTATCTCTTATCCGTAGATGATTTGTCATCTAAGGCAACACGACGCAAAGAGAGTGAAATTTTTTTACTTTCACACATGCACGTGTCTTACAAAAATAAGTACCTTTTTTTATCAAGGAAACAAGCTTTAACCTTTAGTTTGAAAGCTCGAGTAGTAACTATAGCAGTTCTAGCATTAAGTTTCTACCTTTGCGATCAAATCCAGACACAGCCCATGATTGCCTAATGATTCACTACATATAGGTAGAAGTGGAGGCACGTGGCCCTCCAGATAATACTGGATGCATGGAAGGGATCATCAAATACCATGATCTAGATGATTTCTACCCTACCGCTCGAGTAGTGTCGGGGACCTAATATCGGGGTACCCCAGAAGGTGGAACCAATAACCACCGAACGTTAAAAACTCCTGGACGCATAAGAGCGTTGCTTCACCCCTCACGGGAATGACAGGAGCTTGGTTCCACCTCGCCCGACGCCTTTGGGGTGGGCTCGGTCTCGCTCGAGGGCCCAGGGCTAGTCTCTGTCTCGCCCGACGCCTTTAGGGCGGGCTCGGTCTCGCCCAGAAAGGGTGAGGATAGACGCCTCGCCCAGACCCGGAGGGAGGCAGGTCGGTCTCGCCCAGAGATAGGGATTGGTCTCGCTTCGCCGACGACAAGGAACAAGCCTCACTCTGCTCCATATCTAAAGATTGGATTCATCTTACGACCACTTCTCCTGTTCCTTCAAGATGATAGAGACAGGCAAGACAAGACGTTCAGTCAACCGTGGCTCCAAGAACCATACCCGCACCTGGCGAAAAAAATCTTGCTAGGGGATGACGGGACGGGCGCTTTAGGCCCTTCCAGGTGCCGCAGAGTCCGAAAGGTGTCACAGGTGCGAGCTCTCCACCCTATAGAGTTGTAGGCGCCACCTTCAGCTCTGGGACACGGAACCCGATGAAGATATACGACAACCACTACGCTCCAGAAAAGGATTTGCTATCTCCACGAACGTCGAATATTCCGTCACCTGCCTTTGTGGACCCAAGGGAGGCGGCGCCCGCTTCCCGACCCCTCAGGTCCACTAAGACAGAAGACCTTGGCCACGGCGCTACTCCAGACCCCGACCCCACGTCCCTCCGACGAAGACTCATAGGAATCAAAAGGCGTGCGGAGCAAGGCTGGGGGAGGCTCAAAAGTCAAAACCATCACATCTGCGGCCCATACCTGCAAGTAGGTAGCATTCTGTAATCAACCTGACATTCTATAGAGACATGGACAGTATTGTAGGCGCTTATCTTCCTTCGCACTCATCAGAATGAAGAACGAGGCCGGGTAGAGCGTGAGCCACAAGACTAAGTAGAGTACGCATCCTAAAGCCCTCACCCTTGTAAAGCCGCCCCTTCATCTATAAAGGGATGCGCGCTCCCTTAAGAGGAAAAAAAAGATCGAACGAGGCGACTCTCGGATCACATGACAGTCAAGTTGTGTCGAACCTCTTGACATCCCTTCAACCCTTCCATCAGAGACTTGGGACCAGTCCCTCTCTCGATCGTTTGTACCCCTTACTACAAACCGTTCACGGTGCTAATAACAGAAGCAGCAATAAACTGGACGTAGGGACTTTCGGCCCAAACCAGTATAAATCTTGTGTCCTTTAGCGCACCATCCGAGCCTAACGCGCATTACTATAAATTTACTTACCGGTGCTTGTACGAAACACCGACAAGTAGCAAAGAAGCAGAAGGTACATGTCAAAGCCAGGTGTTCCCTCAATATGGAGAACGCTGCCCTTTCTAGGTGGTCACTTAGCGCACATGATGCCACGCCGCCTATGTGCTCACTCAATAAGGAGGCCACATTGCCTAAGAGTCCACGCAAGGGAATAGCAAATCTTATGCAGGTTATTCCAACCTCGACACAAACGTCAGGGCCCGAGCCCATCTGGTAGGAGCTTTTTCACCACTCATGCCACCAAGGTAACGTTACCGACCCCGCCTTCGTTTCAATTATATTATACGTAGGCAAAACATCCCAACGATTCATGTCGCACCACGAAACGGCTGCCGCCTCATTCGATATAGGCGACCACAGGCCGAGGTTCGAAGGCCGGCCCGCGAAGGGCTCAAGGCCGCCTCACGCCGAAGCGAGCTGGGAGAGATAACCGAGACAAGCCCGGTGCCCCGCCCGACCCTTTCGAAGCGAACAGGGACGTCTCGACCTTCTCTCGTTCAATTCTAACCCCGAGCCAAACCCACAGAATCTCCATCGAGGAGAGGCCATCGGGCCCCCTGAGCTTATCGAACGACTCAGGCATCTGCCAGGAGGCGGGTTAAGAAGTTGTGGAGTGCCACCAGAGAGGGCCTGCCGACCCCATCGAGCAAACGATGGACCCGGATTCCACACACGAGCGTACCCGTTAGTGAGCTCGTTGAGCGCGACACTCGAGCCGTCAAGGCAAGTGTCGTTCACTCACCCCTCCGATTGCGAAAACCGAGGATGGGGTGACACGCAAATAACAACCGACCCTATTAGACCCTAACAAGGCTCGGGGCTTGAGCCATACAATCTGAGGGACACAGGTTGAAGGCCCCACCTTGCCGAGCCCATAGAGTCCCCGGTTGGGGATTTTTTGTTGGAAGGCAGGCGGGGAATATCGCGATGGCGTCCATGGACTTTGTCAACCCCTGTCACCAAAACCACGATTCCGATCTCCAAGAACCCCCAACCCCAAAGCCAAATGCGAGGGGTCGGACCTTACTCGAAATTTGGTTAAGGTACGACTACCTCCTTTCTTTCTTTCTTTCGGAACAATCTCCTCGCATTATAACCAGCGGTATAATTGAGAGGAACAGATTAGTAAGATCGTAAAAATCAAACAAAACAAAATTACGACGCAAAATCACGAAAAGCGTCCGGACTTGAAAAAATACTAACACTTGTCCACATATTATTATATAAGTTATTCTCAAAATTGTTCGACTAATTACTTCGCGGAGGGAGAACCATCTCTTTCAGATCGTCGCTGAGTTTTTGCAAGGGGAGCAACCATCTTCTCCATTTCCTCCGGCTCTTCATCCTCGTAGGTGGGCCGGAAAGCCTTCGCTCATCACCTTGAGGTTGATTTCCTTCTCATAATGAGCGTGGGCGACGGTGAAGGCCTAGGTAATCCCGGCGTGAAAGGCACTCTCCTCAAGCTAGCCCACCTGAGCCGTGATACCTGCGACACGAGCCACGAGTGGGCTGGTCTCCACCGGCTCTGTCACATTCAGGGCATTAAGGACCACCCCGACCGTAGCTCAGAAGATCGTGCTCGTCATTCTCAACTTTGAAGGGCCCTTCGTGCATAGGTAGCCTCTTTTTCCCGGCTTGATGGAGGCGTTTTCAAGACTCGACCTTGGTTCACGCGTCACCAAGCTCACTTTGGAGAGGCGGACCACCTCGGCGTCCTCGTCCACCTTCTGCTGGAGGGCCGTGGCCCTACTCTCGGCCTTCCACTGGAGGTCCCGCTCCATCTCCAGCTCCTTCAGGACCTCGTCGGCCTTCTCATTAGCCGTGGCATTCCTCTGCAGCAG